CCCAAGGACCGTGCCGCAGTTAGATGCCGGGACACAGGAAAGATGGAAAATCCACCGTGATAGCGGGCACTTGCTGGCCGGACTAATTCTGTCCTGGTTTTTTCATGGTTGCGTCGTGGCAGGCTGGCAGAGGTAGGGGGATGCGTTTCCGGTAGGTCTGGAAGGAGAACGTGGGTATGTGCCAAAAGTTTGGGTCCAAAACATCCCCCAGCATCCTACCATCCCTCAAGGCGCAGATCCCCTAAAGAGGTCAGAAATTTGGCGCATATTCCATGTAGAAAGGATGCTGGCTGTGACTGCATGGCCGCGCCATGGGCAGACTTCACATATTCTTCCTCGTGTGCACAAACCTTGTAAAAAACTGTGGGCGCGCAGTGTTTCCCAAGCCGTGGGATGTACCGCTGTGCTGCGAGTTTGCGCTCGCGGATGTTCCCGCTATATTGCGGCCCGGTCCCAGTCCCAGGCTAACTTGCAGGCTGCAGAGGATGCCAAAGTGATTTTCTGCATTCTGGCTCGCGGGAGCAGCTCTAAAGATTCCTGGCCAAAGACGCCGCAAGGTGTGAAGGAGCTGGGGAATACTCGCGATGACATCGCCCGGTCGCTAGTGGCAGCACTTGGCAATGGATCCTCAGAAGCTGCAGTGGTGCTGGTCTTCGAGGACACTCCCCAAACGCCGAGCAGGTACTGGTGGGTGCTTACAAGCCAATTCTTGCAAGGCCAAGTCATGACGGAATATTCTGTACTGCATCAGTGTCAGCAGCTTGCTCAGTCTATCCACGACAAGCAGAGAACTTCCAGACCGTCAGGTTGCATGCTCATTCCCAGCAAAACAAGTTGCACGATGGGTATGCAAAAGACTGCTGAAGCTTTCTTCGAGGCTCTCGGCAGTCCGGAGAATTCCATACTGGTGCTGCTTGATGAAACGTTTCCCCCACTTCCAGTGACAGCTCCGGACTGCGACGGCATTCCCGCAGCACGGCGTGTTGTCTTCTTGTTGGGACTGCGAGAAGAGCTCAATGCGGAGCAGCTTGAGTGCTTTGAGCGTGCCGCAGTTGAGAGGCACTGGAGCGTCCTGCGTCTTAGTTTAGGTTGGGTTGGAGAGTTTACGTCGAAGGTGGTTGCGCGCTTGCAGGTGTTGCACAGCTGCAGTCAGCTTCTACCGTCATTGGGAATCCTCAACTTCTGGAATCAGAAAGGCAACTTTGACTGGAGCATGGCGGGCATTGGATGGCCATGCCCAGTCTGCCGCGAGCCTGAACTGTTTCTTCGAGAGGGGCCCTTGATCCACTTCTTTTTGCCCGTGCAGGCTGCGCTGTCAGAGCTATCGTGTGATCCGACTTCAGCCTCGGCAGCTGCATGCAGCTCCGTCGCCAGAAGCTGCATCGCAGGACTGTGGCGAGCACACCATGCGTGGGATCGCTGTCGGCTATCTTTTGCTTTTGCAGATGGGTCTGTTGTGACACTCACGCGCCGCTTCAAGGGACGTTTTCAGGGCCGCCGAGCAACCGAGTATTCCATCTTGAAGGAACTTCGACGGCTTGTGGATGCAGCTCTGGCAGAGCGTAGTGCAAAAGGCAGGAGGGCAAAATCGTTGACACCAGGAAGGAGGGCTTGCACCGTGCAGGTGCCAGAGCACGGACGCCTCTCAGAACTGCCCTACCGCAGGGATGGGACTCTCGAGCTGCACTTGGAAGTTTCTGCCACATCAAGTGACGCCTCACTGTCTAGTGAAAAGTTTGCCTCGGAACTGCTCCATACACTTTGGACACCTCCTGGAGGGAAAAATGCTCCAAGTTGTATGGTGTGCCTGGTGCTTTTTACATCACCCCCTTTCAATTTCACAGCTGGTTGGAAGGCAGTTGCATCATCACAGCTCTGCCATACAGATCACTTTGCAATGCTTTGCGCTCTGCAGAGTGCTCTGCTCGGCGCGGAGGGTAGCGGAGCAGAACTTTTGACGCAGGTTTTGGTTCCCATCTCCCCAGTGCTTCCTCTGGCTGCCTCGCATAACCGGAGCCCCTCTCCATTCAAGAAGGCCCTGCAGCATATCCTCAAGCTCTTGTTTGCTCGTGTGCGCTTCCCTGGCCGGGACAGCAATCAAAAATTGTGCGACGGGTTCCGTGTCTGTTTGTGGCGAAAACATGTTCTACACTGGGGATGGTCCAGATCGTGGGTTTTTTGCAGTATGTAAAATTTCCGGGGGCTGTATCTAAGCGGGGACCCATCAAGGGACCATGATTTCGGCAAACCCCTAGTATGCGTGTGCAGGCACGAGATGGTGAGATTTCTGTTCCAGGAGATGGAGCATGAGAGGGTAAGTCCGGGTAAGTCGAAGTCAGGAGTGACTGCGTGAAGGCATTGGCTCCAGCTTTGCAAAGAGCGGAGAAACCTGCAAAAATGCCGGCCATCACGGACAACGTCTCGTTACCCGTTCGAGCTTGAAGCTTTCAGAACAGGATCATCAGAATGTCTTCTTGGCCCTGACAATATGGCGTCGTAGAAAAGGACAATGAACTTTAAGACTTCAGACGTCTGAGTAGATGGAACAATGGAATACATGGGATCCTGCTCGGAAGCTAGATAACATATTTTGTGAGGACCTTATATCTCATTTCAGAAGTGCAGGGTTCCACGACCTTAGACTCTGGAATTGTTTAGAAACGCCAATCACCAGCAACTTGTTGGTGCGACATCAGTCAAGTAGTTATTTGAGATTTGGTGCCGTGTACATGCGCTGCCTATATTGCTCACTGTTAAATGCATTTGCGATAGTTACCCGATAGTTTAGGGGGGACTATGACGAATCCAAATCCTCATGTCCCGTGGAAAGTTGGGATTCTGCAAGCAGCACCAAGGAGGTACAGTATCCACTAGCTTCACAATGCACCGTGTGTCTCACCGGCCTGACCTTGCCCCAGAAGTGCCATTGCTTGCAGGCCTCGGAAGTGCAGGTAAACAATGTCAGGCGTTGAGGGTTTCTTTAACGAATCCGCGGATTTTTCAACACGCGGTACTGAGGGACCCTGGCAGATATCAGACCATGGGGAACTTCTTGGGTTTTTTAGGCAGATTCTACAGGAAGCAGATTCTACAGGAATGACCTCGACCCTACATAAGTCCTAAGCCGAGCCCTGTACTCCAACCAAGGTTCAACAACATCGCGCGTGAATGGCGCTGCAAGTGGTCTGCTGATGGGGAGAAGGCGGCACCTAAATCCAAAATGAGAATGTTTGAAGGCTTTGTAAGACTGCGATCCATGGAGCTTGACATAGACACATCATGGCGGGCTTCTTCAAAGTAGTTTGGCCATCATCCGGTGGCCTTGTGTGGAGGATTTGCTTAGGGAGTTTAGTTCAGGAGATGGATTCACAATGACGCAGACGGCCCACCCTTGTAGCTTGCTATTCCCTCTTATGGTCCTGAAAGTCTGTAAGCAATTTTATTGATGGACTATGACAACTCCTACTACCTCTTGTATCAGCTGTTACAGCACGTGAGATTGGGCTAAGCTGCGGCTGTTCAGCTTTGCGGATTGTACTTGACCTGAGTTTGCCATGTGTACCTGAGGCCTGTGGTCGAATTCTTGCTTAGGTCTTCTTTGAGCAACTCTTTGTCGAGAACTACAGTGTGCGCAGTATGGGTTTCCCAGTTTACCTACTCAAGGGGATGACTTGCACAAACAGCTCACAAGATGACTTCCGCAGTCCCCCTAATCAGCATTTGTGGGTAATGGGTTGCGAAGGCTCTGCGCGAAGTTGAGAGTGAGCGTTGACATGCTACTGGTAATGGACTGGTGAAAGCTGAAGACATCATTGCAGACATCAGGGTGGTCTATCTATTGCCGGCACTTGCTTGAAACAGCGACAAAGTGAGTTGATTGTACTGCCCGGTCTGAAAAAATATCATATTTACAATACCACCTTGCTTATCTTGGAATCGGTATTCCTCCGTTCATGTAGTTGCAGGTCGCGGAATTTCGTTGCGTAGCCCTCCCAAAGCCAGGAATAATGAATGCAACGACTGGGAGAACATGCGTTGCGTGTTGTTTGTATCTCTAAGCCAAAAGCCCTCCGCACTGAACATCACTGAACCCTAAAGCCCTAAGCCTTCTCGCACAAACTCTATACCTTAAGCCCCCAACCCTTAAACGCTAAACAGTTCTGTGGTTTGAGGCTTCCCTCAAGGCTGCGCAAGCCGCTCTGGACGAGGCTCCTGGGCTGCTCTTTTGCCAGCTATTGTTTTTTGGTGGTATTTTGAGGTGCCTTTAGGACAATTTTTGGGTGATGTAGGGGTATGCCGGCGGTTTCTACGGATTCTCAAAATCATGGGTCTCGAAGAAACAAGCCGACCAGGATGGTTCTGAATCCCAAGCTGTTCCATTTGCCAACGCATGAGGGCCATGTAGCCCGAGTTGAGGTAGAGTGACGTGTTGAAGTGCATCGCACTTGCTGGTCCAAAGCACTTGTGGATGCCACAGATGCTGTTGCTTCAGGTTCTGCCTGAGGTCCACACCTTACTGGCAAATCAGCCAAGGGCAGCTAGCCAGCCTGCAATGTGCAATGTGCTTCGTGCTCTTTATCACGACTACAGGATTGTTAGATAGACGCTAAGCGTGGGAACTGTCCGTGTAGCTGTTGCTCAGCTCCTTTCCCCCCGATCAGGTCAAGAAAGATCCGACCTCAGAGTGGCACTTCCAGTATGTTTTTTTTTGTCAGAGTCAAGGTCCGAATTTTCGGTCACTGTGGGAGGATGTTGGAGATAATTACCCCATCTGAAAAACAATGGTGAAAACTAGAGTGCCCTTACAGCTGATACCGCATGAATAGCTCATGCAGGTATGTGCGCAGGAGTGCTGTCATGTTTTCAAGAGACCTTTAGAGTTGGAAGGTTGTTTCTTAGTTGCCTGTCTTTCAGCCAAGCAGATTTTAGGTAAATCTTTTCGGAGGTCCAGTAAGTTTGGCATGCTGCCATATACCGCCCAAACCTAGCAGACCTACCACATGAGGACCTGCAAACAAGTGGACCATATTGATGCCGCATGCCTGCTGGTGGCTACTTGAGGGCTTACATCTGAAAAAGGGGGATGTAGTTTCCAGGTGGCTGGCCTGAGCAGCGTGCAGCGTGTGGTCTGTGGCGGTTGCTTGGACTTCAAGGCCAGCAAACCGGATTTATGTTGCCATGAGAGTTAGACACTGGTGCTACTGTTGATGGAGGAAATCTTGCACCACCTTAAGTCCCAAAAACCCCAGGAATTACAGTAGTTCAGGG